GGGGAGGCTACAGAATATTGACCGTCAATTAAGGAGACAGGTGAGAATAATATAGAACCCTATAAGGGGATTAGGTAAATTTCATCGTTTCAGCCGTTGATGTTGTAAGGAGAAATAAGATGCTGATCACCCCAGGGGGTCTCTGGGTTAATAAGGTTAATAAGGTGTTGCATTTTATTATTTCAGAGTAACTTTTGATTGATGCTTCTTGGAATACAACGAAGCAAAGAACAAACGCATAAAATTTTTATAGGGTGATAGCCAAGACTAGAAATGTACCTGAAATAACACAAACGGATAACAACCAGCCAGCGCTGGCTGTCCCTGACACAAAAAGGCGGGGAACAAAGGCATAGCGTATCACGTGCGTGTTCTAACACGAGCGCGGTCCGAACACAAATGCAAATGCACGCGTTCTCCCTTTCCCGCGAGTTTTCTGAATTAACACACGATCAAGTCGACAAAATGAAATATCTAAATGTCTTTCTTTCACCATTCATGACTTGGTTTACATTGCATTTGTCAAACCTCACGCCATGAACACTACTTTTTTCTGTCATGTTTTTATTAAGATGTTTGGTTCACCAGTTACCAACTCTGATTCGATTGATCGTACGCTTTATGCCAAAACATTACCATGGTTTTCGTTACTGACCAAACCAAATCGTGACAATATTTCTTTTCAATTTTTTAAGCCTACTAATATCATTTGCTCAAGATTTTCACCAGAGTATTTCTGAGTTGGGTGCCTCCTTGAAGCAATATCCACGGTGGTCCTGGCAAAATCTCAAAACACGAGATTGCTGATCGCAGCTTTCCTCAGCTAACGGAAGTTTTGACGGAAACTGACTTTTAGGGCAATCAATTATTTCTACAGATTACCCTTGGCCTTATTCAAAAACGTTGTGATAAGTACAGCATGTGTATAATTAGAACATCGTGAACACGAGGCGTCAGGGAAAGAAACCAGAAAGAGATTAGAAAGAGTCACTCAACAATGCTCTCCTTACATTTCAGTTAACCTTTAACTCTCATGAGTGACCAAGACAGAATTTCTCCTTACAATATCAATACAATACCAAGCAGGCAAGTGATGAGAATCAAGAAAAATATCAGTTAGGGATTATAAGTTGATCCAATACCAAATTCTCCAAACTAGCCTCACAAGAACTGAGTGTGGACAGTTAGAAGAATTACTAAAGAGATCTTGGGAGTTGAAGGGTTAACAGTGATTGTGAGATTTCAGTATCGATTCGGAACAGCGACTTTATTTCTTATTTTTTCAGCTGCTCTTTTTTATTTCTGTTCGCTTGATTACCGTGAGTTTTGTTTAAATTTTTTACTTTCGCTCTTTTTCATAGTTGTACCAATGTATTTGTGTCAGTGTTTTCTCAATTAATGCCGATTAGGTTTTATCAGCTGGTGTATACTTACGCGTATGACAAAGATTTGATTCTTACACCAGTATTCTACGAAGGGCTTGGAGAGCCGAAGACGAAAGCTTTAAATACTTCAATTTCAGAGTTGTTCCATAATGAGAAAGAGGAGAGTCATGACTATCATCAAGGGAGGTGTCTCCCTTTGGAGTCTAATTCAGGTGCAGATCCCTGATTGGAATATGCTACTTTTATTATTCAGAAAATCTGAGAGTGAAACGTCTTCGCTGCTAGGATAAACCATGACCTAATCCAAAGTTTTCAAACGGTTTTAAAAAAATTCAGACGAAATCTGAATGTGCTGATTAAATAAGAAAAGTAGTTCCTTAGCTCTTGTTCCTTTTCCCGTAGCACGTTTGATTAAACCTAACGAAGTGAATATCCGTTCACGTTCAGGCCATTTTGAGAAAGAGAAAGCGATGACATTTGAAAACCCAGCACCGGAAATTACTGAGATAAACAACGTACATCTCGGTCCCTTTTCAGCGGATGTAGTCAGCAAGTATAATGTCCAACTTCAAGCTAAACTCTTGACTTTCCCGGAGAATTTTTCAATTCTCCAACTTGAAACTCCATTAAGTCACTGTAATTTTGCAAGGAGCGTTTTCGCGGTTTCTTTGCGATAAAAGATGCTATTTCCTATACCGCCCCCTCAATGCGCACAGATGTGACGTAAAGGAGACCCCGCGTAAATCTAAAGTGACATAGCAATTCTAATATTGTGAGACGTGATTTACTGTCAATTGGAGGAAATATATAAACCAATTATGTATCCGTGTCAGTCTTTTACTTCGCGTCTTTGATCAAATAGAGACAGTGACAAAGCCATTTATTCTAACATTCATCTGTGAAGAAGCTTTACCATTCATCTCATTCTCAGACGAGTAAGTTTCGTATCAACTAGTTCTCAAATTTGCATATTACAGTTTTGTTTTAAAATTATCGGAATGTGTAACTAATTTGTATGTATGATATTACAAAAAGCCATTGAACAAATTATCTTATGTCTAAGATTTGTAGGTTTCTTCTCTTCCTTTCAAATAACTATGTTCTCTTGGTAAGATGTTAAGCTGGAGATAATGGTGGTGGTGTGACAGTTTTCGAAGGTGAACATAATAGCTTTCCGGGCAATATTAGGTGACCAAGTGATATGGAGTGCGTGAGGTTTTCTTTTGAAATCGTCTTTTTTTTAAAATTCATAATTGAATCTCTCTTTATATATTGTAATGATGACGATTCAATATTTTGGTAGTGATATTAGAGCATAGCGTACGTCATCTATATTAAACAGATTAGGCAGGTAGTGATTACTCCATTTAACCAAAAACCGATCGTGAAAATGATAATTCAGCGCGGGCTCTTTTCCCGATCAGTGGCTATTATCAAGTCTAAGGAAAATCTAGTTCTTGATTTTTTTGTGGGAGGGAGGGGATATCAATCCAAAGATTTGCATGACATGCAATACTGAAAAAGAAAAATACTTTACACTTCAAGTCCGAGCACGAATCGTCTTTCAGTTGACCGTTGTAGGAAACTATTCTCACGCTTATGCCCAGTGCTCTTTACAGCAATCTGTTTGGAGGTTTGACACCTTACCAGGAGCCCATCCTATCCATGTAACAGGCTGGTCAACAAACATATTTAAGCTTCTAGGATTTTTCGGTGAATATTTCCTCTCTTCGCGCTCGCAGGCGGAAAGAAGAGAGGCCCTGGCAGCGAGATAAACATTGAATGATGACAGGTAGATATTTCGACAGTGGACCTGGTACAATGTTCACACCAGGTCATGGAAATGGATACACTCAAATTGTCAAATTCGAGGTGATCAGCGGAAGTGTTTTGATTGATTTATTGATCCGCCTCTAAACCTACCGGCCAATTTGTTTATCCAAAATATAAAGAATTAAAATAAAAAAAGAAAAATTTGAAAATGGATGATTCTGGTATTATTTTTGTCCTGTTTGTACTTTAATCCATCATTGAAAGAAAATTTAAATGAAATAACATATGGTTCGGAATTTATTTTTATATTAAAGAGTCTTTGCGGAGGTCTTTTTTAAATTTTATAATACTCGGCGGGAAGTTTTTTTCATGACAGCAAGGAATATCTCGTCCATTATATCAATGTCATTTTATTGATTTCCATTTAATTTTAGACGTTACGATCATCTAAGCTTGCAAGAACAGTTATATGAAGAGCAACCTCGAAAAGATTTCAGAATTTACACAAATTTCGGCCAACTTTGAAGATTATTGGGTGATATTTTCCTGATCTATGAAATCATTGGACATAAATTTCGTCCATTCAGTATAAAAGAATTGCAAATTATATTTGTTCTGATTTTAAAACAGGAAAAGCCAAAGAAATGAAAGAAATCAGAAGGATTTATTAATTCAAATTCGTTCCCAGGGCCTCTCTAATTTTTCTGAATTAAAACAAAATCAGTTTTTGAGTTTTCCTTTGAAGATTAACCAGTTTTGCAGGTAACAGGTTTTGTCAGCATCCTTTTGGATTGATCGGGAAATCAGTAAAATTCATCGGTAACTGAAAAAAAAGTCAATTTAAATTTATTAACGAACACCGATCAAGGCTTCTTTCATGTGGCTTCATTTTTTTTATTCTTAGCTGCGGGTTTTAAGTAAAAAAACGGGTCTGTGAGCCAGAAAAAGATTCAATACTTTTGGAAAAGCTCCAGCTTAAAGGTATTTCCTGTTGTGATCGTATCATATCTTTGGTATTTCTATCCAGGGAACCTTGATTTGACATCAGGATTAACCGGAATTTTTCCTTGGTGATTGCATCAGAAAAGAGCACGGCGAGAAAAGAAAAATATATACACAATAAGAACGAGCCACCTTTGTCAAATAAAGAAAAGAAATTCTTAATTATTCGACTGATAACAAAGAGCTTATTGAACTAAGTGAAAATTACGGTGATTAAACTTTTGAAATCTTCGTGCTACTTGTCCAAATGAGGTAGCTTTGACGTAGAATTAGCAGACGGCCAATGAAACGTGATATCAGGTGACAGGGTTTATATATTAGTGCACGGAAACGGTTTTCATTAAATGAACATCAGTAACTCTGGGTATTGCTAGAAAATCTTCGCAAACAAGATTTAAAGCTTCTCTTTAGGGGGCGAATTTTTCAGTTTCACGAAAAGTAAGTCACATGCGCTTTTAATTAATGCAAACTATGAATTTGACTGAAGCTTGTAAGTGCAATATTCATGATAGCACTCTTGCCCATAAGAACTGAACTATTAATTGTGAAAATCTGTCGACAGCTGAGCGACTTCCTCACTGAATCCGAAAACGTTCTGCATCGTATTTTGTACCTAAGAACTAGGATATTGAAGATCTTTAGTGCTAACTACCGACTGCCTAAAAATGTCGAAATTTTTAATGTTTATGTTTCACACGAACGACGAAAAGGTCGCATCGGAGTGGAGCTATTGGACGGCGATAAAACTACTTTAGCGTCTGTAAAATTTTTTTTAGCTCAAAAAATCCAGCCATCAGTCTATTTTATCTATGATAAGGTGTTTTCATCTACGCTTTCCCTTCTGATCTCCTAGCAGTCGAACGATTTTGAAGATAAATGTATTTCAAGTTGGCTTGTTTTAACACACATCGGCACAGAAATCTTTAAGATCTTTCACATTCCCACGGGAAGTTTCGTCGAATTTCCTGATAAGAATGTTTTTTCACAGTGTAAGCTTAGAGTCAGTAGATTTCTTTGTATGTATTTTTCTCTCAATTTTATCCCGTTTGTTTGGTCTTTACTGAATATATTCTAGCGCGAAGAATATTTTAATCGAACAAGTACAAGATCGATGTCGAGAAAACATGTAGACATTCAAAATCCCCTTTTATTACCCTCATGGTGTGTACAAAACATTTTTCATTTAAACAGGGCTTTAAGCCGAACAAATCGAGCTAAAAGAGAGCGTTGAAGTCTTCGTTCTTTGTTTGTTTATCACGGTTCGCTCGACAGATATGATAGATGTTTAGACGTATTCCTTCGTTCGTAGCAACATATTTATTATTTAGTATTTGTTTCTTGAACTTTTGCCCGAAAAATTGAAGATTTAGTGTCTATGTGCTGTAAAGGCTTTTAAAAAGTATTGAAGTTGAGCTATTTTCGCCTGTTTATTTAAAACTCTTGCGTTGTAGCTATTGTAGATAGCTAGTTTTTGACGCAGTTACTTCGTCCTCGTAAAATTCTTGCCTGTTATTGGTCAGTTTTGTGGGCTGGACTGGGGGTGTGTCAGGGGGCGTTTTGCGCGATGATCACGCGCGATAAACACGCGCGATAAACACCCGCGTGCCCTTATCGATGAGGTTCTCAGTCGCGAGTTTATGTTCCGAAATACATCTGGTACCTCTGAATAAGTCTATTTATCTTTTACTTGAATGTGAACAGATGGAAATTTCCATAAGAGACACATGCTAACAGGAGTTATTTTAAATTCCTTGAAAGGAAGCAACTTGTCAAAAGGGGAAATCATGTGTGGCGTGATGTTACTGCTTCTGCCCCAGTCTTTTGGGAGATTGGGCCATAAAAGGGTCTAAAATAACATGCACTTTCATTGGTCAGTTTTTATCTCCCTACGTCAGCTGACCAATCAGAATATTTTTTTTACTAAGTGCTTTGATAAGCGGTTTTGCAAGTAAAATTACTCCTAACACTTTCATCACCCAACCATTCGCCTAGACTTAGTTGAAAGTACAAAATAGATTGCTTCTTCTCATTCCTAGGAACACAGTAAAGGAGAACTAACCAGTTAAAGCCTCAATGGCCCTTCATTTGAAAGATGAGTGGGAGAATTTTGTGGTGGAACAGCTTCGAGGACCGTACATGAAAGAGTTTGGTAATCTGAAGACGGACGGCGAGCGCTACAAGTTTTGCAAGTATATTTTACGGTAAGGTTTTGTGTGCCTAGTTTCGCTTAAATTTGATGTTTATTCAGCAAGCACTTAAGTTTTAAGCCTGGGGTTTTCGTTCAAAGTCTTAAGGCGATGTTTTTAGACCTTAGATAAAGCTCCTAAAAGCTAAGATTTGAACTAGACAAACAAGGGAAATTGCAAGATGCCGGTATTGATGGAAACTTCTGATGAAGGAAGGAATTTATCAATATATTCGTTCTGTTATCAAGATCTTTCGGTTTTTTATTGAGATATTTTTGTTTTAATTCCAAGCAGCCTGCAGCATTCATATTTTATTTCGGTTTAATTCGAGGAACGGTTTTCTTCGTCACAGTAAAGAACCGAACTTAGCAGGGAAGTTCTGTTTATTCATCTGGGTTGAGCCTGAGTTGAGTCTTGTTTGCTTTTTCAACAATTTCTTCGGTTTGAAACTCGTATTTTTAAGACATTTTCTCTGAACTTGTCTTGTCTTTTTTATTTTGCTTCCTTGCGGTCCGTTCTCGTCCCGATCCTGTTTAGCCAAGTACAGAAAAAAATTTTACTGTACAAGGTTGCAGCACAATAAAATATGTATGAACATTGTCCGCTTTCGAGGCATAAACTTTTCTGTTTACATAGAACTGTGATAGTTTGCACCTTTACTAAGATCGCAAATTACTAAAATACAAAATAACCATGGCCCGAATTTCACATTTCGGTTCAGCACATTTCATCGATCCCCAGTTTAAATTTAGACTCCACGTTTCGCGAGGAGGCTAAACTAGAAGTTCCTGTCATCGATTGCTGGGTCGCACGTGCCGTATTGCACCGTCCGCACGATTACCTTTGACATCGCTTCGGCAAATCTGTTTTTTTTTTTTTTTTTTTCGATGTTCCCTAAAACATTTCAGGACAGGTAGCGACCTACGATCGAAAATTTTGAATAAGTTCTTATCTTCGATTTGATCGAGACGAAAATGAGGTTTGAAAATGGACTCATGCAGAGATCTATCCGAGAGACTTATGAAATATTGTAGCAATTTGCTTGACACGACATGACACAAAATTTTGAGTGGCATTTAAATTTTTGCTATTTGCAAAAAATGGAAATTGATCTAAAACATTTGAATTTGTTTTCAATCGCTGATTTAAAAGATTGGAGAGAAAATGCAATTACCTAAATTTACATTTTTGATATTGTTTTCTTTAGTTTGGGCATGCACCACTCAGTTTGATTGCTAGAATGACCCTTGCTTAAGAAAAAGTAAAAATACTTGTTTTGGAAAAGCAACCGCATGTTACAGAAACATAACATGTTTTCAAATTAAATCAATGACTTATTTCTCAATTCAAGCCCTTCCCATCATTCTAGACCATACTGCTTGGACTGGTTACTTCAAAAGGACTTCTTGCTGAACTTTTCCAAGTCCCTTGCATTGTGGAAACTGATGGGAAAGTTTTCCTGTTTACGCTCGCGTTTTTAATTGTGTGGTGTTCCCCTGGGAATTAACAATGGTCTGTACTGAGAGATTCAAGGTGTCAAATTAATTTTCTGTATGGTAATCTATTCAGTGTGTTTTTAGTGTCAGATCTGGTTATTGCAGGCTACTGCATGGACTAACCTAGCTTTTAGGTCAAAAGTCCTTAAAAAAAGGACTTTCTAGTGATGTCATTCAAAACCTTGCTGTATAAGTGGACTTGTCATAGCATTCTTGGAGCAATCAATTTTATTTTTTGTATGGTGTGTTTTTCTTGAATCTAGATGAGGTCATTACCTATAGAGTGTTTGTGTTATTGACAAAAGGTTTTCTCTGAATTGACACCTTGATTGCATTTTTCTCTTGTGTTTGTTTCTTGATGTTGATTGACAGGAAACTATTGGTCATTTATTTGCCCTTTAAACATATTTTAATTTACTTCTTTTCCCTTGATCCTTAAATGCATGAGCTTATCATTTCATTGTTATGTAAGGATCAACTCTGGTTAATTTGCATTTCATTCATCCTTCTGCACGTGCGCAGCTGTGTGCAGTCAGGAATCATTTGTGCCTGTTCACTGGAGCTAATCGATAGTTGTTATCTTGTCAACTTAAGTAGCATGAATTTGAAATGTTCATGCCTTTAAGATTTATGGAATTTGGAGTGCATTTGGAGTGCATGATGAAAACAAATTGTGGTTACTGTTAAACTGTACAAAATGATTCTAAGATTGTTTTAAAAACAACTTGTGTCCCTTAGGGATGGCAAATTTCATTAGTTCAGGTGTATAACCAGCCTGTTTTGGTAACATGTAAACATGGATGAGATAAAATATGTAAATGAAGATGGCACAGTGTCAATTCTTTTGTGATGTTGTGTCCAAAGAGAGGATTTGAACTAGGAGGACAGTTTACAGACTTTAAACCCTTACACCCTAACATCACTATCTACATTCTTTATACTCTTCTCAAGACCCTTTCTTAGGTCCTGGCTGGGAGAATTCATTTAGTTTTCATTCTCACTGTCTTAATGAATGATTCAGCAGTATTACTTAGAGGATCAATTAAATGTGGTCACTTCTGGGATTTAAAGGATTGTAAAAAGTGAAAAGACATTTTTGATTAAAAAAAAGCAACCAATTATTGTGATTTTAAGCCACATGCTACCTTGATTAATTCTTCACCTTCCCTTTCCAACCTTTGAGTTCACTTTGTAATGGGGTTCAGCTATGTTGTTTGTGATGTTTTTGCACTAATTTACCATGCACCTCCAAGATATAGTCATTGGACTTTATAGAGATTTCAGTCAGTCTGTAAAGTTGTTTATAGTATTTTTGCATCGGTTCGACATGTGCTGATATGGGGCTAATGTTGCGGGTGGAAATAGCAGCGACATTAGAGTTAGTATATGAAAAACAAATGTGATCATTCCCCTTGTTGTTATGCCCACGTTCCATATATGGTCAGTTATTTATGTGGGCTTTTGTGCTCATGCACTAGTGAAACTATTCTTTTGCAGCATCCTTGTAAATGTTCAGCCATTAAATGTTCGTGTAGTAGATTAAAATTCCCCTTTCTTCTGATATTCCAGGAATAACACAGTAGCCCAAGAAATCATAAGTCAAATACAAAAGCTTCTGAGTACTAGGAGCCAACAGAAAGCCAAGTCAGCAGGGAATGGCCAGGAATACTTGCATGTGGGAGAAGAACATCTTAGAAGAAGAGATTTCAAGAAAGCAGTGATTTGTTTATCACTGGTAATAACTCATAACGTAATAGTTAAATGAAAATCATTTTGCTGAAACAATTATGGCTTATTTTGGTCCTCTCTTTCAAGTGGTCGTGCAGTAAACTTAAGTGGGTTATGGCATGGCGCTTTTGTTTGTTGTTGTTCTTCTTTTGTATAGAAGTTAATGTTTTGGTATGTGCATAGTTTTCTCATTTGTCAAATCTTTTAAATCAGCTGTTTGTATGTCATAATTTCTAGCACTGTGCTCACTTTTTTGAGGAGTTACTTTCGACTTACCAGAGAAACATTTGATTTGCAAAACTCCCAATAATAGTTGCTTTTTCTTCCACTTTGTAGGCTATCCAGCAAGTCCTTTTGTCCAGGTCTGATAACCAAACAGCACTCTCTAACCAACATAACGATTTATGTGACTTGACATCATCTGACAGTACCGAAGACACCAGTAGGTCTGATGGCCAGCCCAACCTTGCTGCTCTTTATACTCAGAGAGCTGAGGTTCTGTATCAGGCACAGGAATATAAGGTATGATGCATACACTATAAGAACTAACTACACTTTCAGGATATGACTTCTTTTCTTTGAATTTTTCATGTTCCCATGACAAAAATTTTCTTTCTGTCACATGTATGCTCCACAATATTTTACTCTGCAGAGACTTCAAGAAATTCTATTGTGATCTTATCTGGAAGGTGTTTTAATAATAATTATTTCCTTTTTATTTTCCAGGCATGTCTTAATGATATTCAAGAGGTAATATCTCTGCAGCATCCCCAAGCTCTTAGTGGGAAACTTGTTAATCTTCAGAAATTTTGTCAAAGAAAGTTATCATCCTCTCAACACTTGATTCATGGTAAGTATTGATGCTTTCTTATGTTGTCTTTTACCTTTGGAGTTCTTTTTTTGTACAATCTTAACTGAGTGTAACTGTATTTGTTCCTACAAATCTTATTTTAGGTGAGGATACTTCACAGAATATTCCCACTGTTACCGGAGGACAACACAGCAAAATAGCCAATGGATCCAGTTTGATTGAAATCAGTTGCACAGCCAGCCAGGGACGATTTTTGAAGGTTGGTTGTCAAGATGGCATAATACAAATAAATCCTACAAAATGGGGAAAAATACTCACTTGCAAAAATTTGATTATCTGCAGCAAGGTGTTCAAGATTTAATATGTCCCTAATTATATAACAATAACAAACCTTGTTCCTCTATTCAGTTCTTAAGCACCTACTGATTTTTTTTCTACAAGTTATATTGTTACACTCATTATCATATGACCTATGCATGTGTTCTTAATATTCCAAAACATTTTTTTGATTTCTGCAGGCATCAGATGACATCCGTGCTGGAGACACTCTTATCTCCGAGGCACCATATGCTGCAGTTCTCTTACCAGAAAATGCCCTGACTCATTGTGAATGTTGCATGAAAACATTGATAGCGCCCTTTCCGTAAGTGAAAATTGTGCACAAGAGAGGTGGCAATATTAAGTTAAAAATATTGATAAAGATAAGAAAGAAATGTGTATTTCAAGCATTTTGTTTATTCAACTTTTGTTGAGTTTAGCACAGTCAGTTCATTTTCTAAATGATTGTTTGATAGTGTAGAACCCTAGATAGGGTATTATGAAACCTGAAAAGTCTCACAATTCTATCATTTTTCA